GAGCTGTTTTTTCTCCTTTTTCAACAGCCCTTGACTGTCTACTCATGGACGTAAGCGTTCAGAGAAGTGTGCGACCTGTGGACCTACACTTTTCTTGTATGTTATCTAAGTGTTTAGTGTAAGATGTGTTTAGCCCACCTGGTATCACCTTATTAGGCATCATGTCCTACTCAAGACCACTTCAATAATGCAGTCGGTTGTATTACATCACCTACTTTGTTCTTCTACGTATTTCTTCATTGCGGACACGATCTCTTAAAGTTATTCCCGGCATGAGTCGTTCCACTGTGCTGTGTTACTCTTATTTTGTTAACGGCTTTTATGGTTGTAATTGTCGTATTGGACGTAATTGTCTCTGGAACGTATACCATCACTGGAAGGATGAACGAATTGAAACTTTTTGCCTTGATGTATATGGGAATATTATTTTCCTTGAATATAATTTTTTTCTAACGGCAGTCTATATTATTCGGATTCTTCGGTCTACTTCCGCGTCTGCGCAAGTTTATTAGATGACTCAAGTAAATATATTTTTCCCACTTTTTCTATCACGTTCTCTCCCACAACAACAAGACACAGTATCGTGAACACAATAAAGAAAACGTGTTTTTTTTCGATCACTCCTTCCATTACCATATTTGGTCTATATTATCCATCTTGATTAAATATCTTGATTACAGCAGATCTTATTTTTTTCGATAGTAATCGTTTGGCCTCTATGTCTTTAACAGTGTTCTGTCGTTCATCTGCAAAAGTTACTTTCATGTATCTCTTCTAATTATCTGTAGCCGATTTTCGCACATTGTTCTGTTAGCCGTACAACATTAGATATTCTAATTACTTTGTTTTCCTCTTTGTCTATACTTATGTACGATGTTATGTCCTGATCTTTGATCTTTCGCCCTTGTATTATCATATCTTCAATTTGGTTTGTCATCCACGACTTTTTATTCATTGTTACTTGTTTAACATTTTTTTTCTATGTCTTATTTAATCTCAGATGTCGCTATTTGCGTCCATTTGAAGCCATGTTAGAGTTGCTTCCTAAGACAGAAGAGATTTATTTTCACGTTCAGAGCGACTATGAATTGCCGTTCTGATGAGGCCTATTATTCAGAAATACGTATAAGCGGATACATAGACGCATTATACGTGAAATCAAATCTTAACTGTCTTTTTCTTTTTATTCCGATTACCCTGTATTCACTTCACTTCAATTCGCTAAGGATTTTTGCTTAGTTGAGGAGATATGTCGTGGAATGCAAATTTTAGATTCCCCATGTCTCTATTAAGATCTTTATCAACGTCCGTTTGGCTTTGCAATTCTTAGAAGGCACAGATTAAAGCAAAAATCTGAATTTGGTTTTGAAAATTAGTTAACGGATTTTATATCAGATGTCACTATTTGCGTCTATTCGAAGCCATATTAGAGCTGCTTCCTAAGACAGAAGAGATTTATTTTCACGTTCCGAGCGACTATGAATTGCTGGTTTGATGAAGCCTATTAGACCGAAATACATATAAGCGAATACATAGACGCACCATACGTGAAATCAAATCATAACTGTCTTTTCCTTTTTGTCTCATTGTATTTTTTTATATCGTTTTTTTTTGTTCACTTCTTTTTCTTCTTCTTGTAAATAAAAGAAAAACTACTAACATAGTAGTCACCTACTTTTTATGGGTACTGATAAATCGTTTCATTTGAATAACTCAGCAATTTTTTAAAATACAAATCTTGCTTTCTCTATCCTACATTTTATTTCTAGGAAATGGTCTCAATTTTCATTGACGTTTGTACCAAGTTAGGTGTATGTTGTTACTCTTACTATAAGTTGACCATTCATACTTATTCTTTCAATTTGCTGTTCCTTCTTAGAGATCATCACACATTTTGTTTTCCTAATGTTCAGTGAAAGTCCATATATCTGACTAATTTCTGTGATTCCATTTAATAACTCCTGAAGGGCTTCATAACTTTCAGCGAATATCATAGTGCCATCCGCGTATCTGATGTTATTGATATTTCTCCGTTAATTTCAATTCCGGCTTCAACATCCTCTACTGCTTCTTGAAAGATTTCCTTAGAGTATATGTTAAACAGCTAGGGTAATAGTATACATCCCTGTCGGGCACTACGTTTGATTTTTATATCATCGGATTCTCCTGCCTCTGTACGAATAGACGATGTTTAATTAAACTAAAGATTGCTAATAATTCTATATCACAGGTGTTTATACCAATATTTGTTAATATCTTCATCAGCTTGTCGTGTTTTACTGTATCCAATGTTTTATGGTAATCAATCAAGCATGCATAAATATCGCAATTTACATCTCTACATCGTTGAAATAGCAATTGTATGCCAAAGAGAGCCGTCTCTCGTACCCACTACATTCCGAAAACCAACCTGGATACGGCTGATTTCTTCTTCGCATAGTCTATCCTTTAATGTATGATTTTTAGAAATAACTTAATAACTTAGTGAGTCACAGATTTTTAGAAATAACTTAATGAGCCACAAATGTGGCTCATTAAGATGGTCCGGAAATAGCGCAGTAATAAACGTTAACTTTAGTTATCATGTATTACACCATTTAAATATATGTCATTGAATATTTTTCTTAGTCGTTCAGCATGTCCAGCTACTTGTTTTACCTTTTTATGCATATTAAATGTATCGTGTTTTCGTTCTTCTTTCTTGAACAACTTTATCTCTTCATATTCTGTTTTTAACCAATTTTCTTTGGCCTTTCGTTTTTCAGTTATTTGTCTCTGAATCTGTCTCTATTTTTGTATTCTTTTGTTATTCATTGATTTTCTTCTTTCTTTCATAAGTTGCAGTATAATGTCATTCATCTATCCTTTCTTCTTCTCTTTATTTTCTCTTAGATATTCTTCTTTGATCTTGTTAAAGGTTTCACATATATTCTGGTGTGATTCTTTTGCATTATATGTTTGCTCCATGTTACTTAGCTTTTCTGAAAAAATTCGGGCGACTGTCCCCTTTATTTCCTTATCTTCTAGTCTTCACTTTTCACATCACATTTTTTGTTACTATTTTTTTATAACATTTTAAAACTAAAGCTAAATTTACCAATAACAGGAATATGATCTGACGATACATCACACCGGGATAACTTTAAACTGATAGGCATCCATTACGGAATCTCTTGTTCACCATTATGTAATCAATATGATTCCTTATTATATTTCCAGGCTGATCTTGCGTAGATACCCAAGTAAACAAACGTCTTAGTGGTAGTTTAAAGAACGTATTTAGTATTGCAAATTCTTCTTCCTCTACAAATAATTTTAATCTTTCTCCTCTTTCATTTCTCTTCCCTGGTCAAAATCACCAATTAATTCGCCGTTTTTCCCGTTATCAATTTTTGCATTCAAGTCACCCATAATAATAGTTATATATTATTTTTAATTTGTTTAGGTGAATTTATCAACAACTTATAAAATTGCTTTACATCTTTTTCTGGTGTTCAATCACAAATTAATCCCTAATTTGTAATCTTAATAATTAGTGTCCGTTTACCTGCAAACCTGCACTTAATGAATTTCCGAATAATATATTTTTCAATTGAACTTCCTAAGTGTTGCAATAACAGCCTAGATTAAATTGTATTGTAAGATCATAGTTCAAAATTTGTTAGTATGATAAAAGCATTAACCTCTGTGCCGATGTATACATTATTTCTGTAATTATCAGTAGTTATCAATAAAACTATAATTTTTACTCCACGACTTTAACATTTTATTGTTTTATTGTATTACCATCGTTGATCGAGAAGAATCGGAGAAAGGGGCATTACAAAATATTTCGATCCTGATATTTACATCGAATCTGTCCACTGTTTTATCTCTGGTTGGGGCATGCAGTTATAAAACATTTAATTTGACCGAAGTAGTATTCAGTTGGATTATTATTTTTTAGAAAGAAAGAAAAAAAAATTGTTTACAGGCTGTCATATCTTCTTTAATACGAGTTTTATTCCACCAATCAGTGGATTATGGTTTCATGTGAAGTTGGCTCCTTGAAATGGATTGAGAGATGTTATGGACTTTACTGGTTTATGGACAAAATCTTTTATTAATTATAATGTAATCACTATATTAGTTGTTGTTTTTTTTTATGGTATTCGTGGTGTATCTCTGGGATAGTGGTATCGTTGAGTTTTTTTTGCGGAATCGGACGATTGATATTAAATTTTTTTATCAAATCCAGTTTATTCTTATTTTTATTTATTCTTGTGGAATGTTACAAATTAATTGGACTTATGTGTTGATAATTTTCTTCTTTTATCAGGAGCACAATTATTTTTCCAACTTACAGTGAAGTGAAAAAATTCTTGTGTAAAATGGTATCATTTAAAAATTATTTTTATAAAAAATTGCAATTTTTCAAACGGATTCAAAGTTTAAAATGCTTCGGCCAACTATTGGCAGGTACCTATCCTAGGATATATATATATATATATATATATATAATTTTAATTTTTCATACATTTTATATACGAACTAAAGGTTATTATACCTTTCAAAGTAGCTAGTTTAATTGCTAACGATATAATATTCACTGATGGTAGTTCGAGAAGACCCAAAATGTTCTGAAATTTTAATGCGTTTGGAAAATACCATTTTACATTAGCAGTTTTTCAGTGCACTGTAAGTTCATTTAAGATTATTATACTTGTTTATACTATTCCCAGACAATTAGTTGGCGATTAGGAAACTACAACAGACTTAGTTTAGGGTAGATTTTAAAAACTATTTTCTGTAAATTTTTTTGTGATACTCGCTAGATCTATGCGCATACGAACAAAACTATACAAAAATGGGAAATAAAACAAAACTAATATATTTTTTTTGGAAAATTATGTACATAATTATATATCAAAGTACACTGTGAACTTACCATTTATTAATGACAATATTAAGTAACAATAAAGGACAGTTTTTATAATTTTAAATAAATATAATAAAATAATTTAAAAATAAATACATTGTATTTCAGCGTATTTGAAATGTGGTTGGTAAAGGCAGTGCCTATGAATGTTGGTGGTAGTACACACTCCTGTTTGACTTCTGGTGTTCAATTTCTGTTGTTCGAAAAGCCATTTCAATTTGACAGCACTTCTCAGGTGACTGTAAATGTAAAAAAAACATTAGATATAAATATGAGTACAATAAAATTAAACAATGTTGTGTATTTTAAATCATAATTTTGTAAAATTATTTCAATTCCAATGCATGCCAAAAAGTTGGTAATTATCAATATATAGTGCTAACCGTTGACAGTGAAGGTGTGAACTATGAAGCCACTAGTCCAACATCTACACCAAACAGTAACTTTTTGTGGAATGCACTGGGCTTTCCTGGATCTGATCTAGAGTGGTATGATCTCAAATAAGACAATTCTATTTTCTGACGTACCAATTAATCAAAAAATGGACTTAATCATCTGAAGATGATTTTTCGGTAAACATTAGGATCACTTTCCAAGTGTTCTTGGGCCCCATCACCGAAAACATGTCACTGTCTATGGTTGTTTACGTTCAAATCATTAGTATGTTGAATTTTGTATGGGTACAGGCCCAAATCACGACGCAAAATTCGCCAAGTCGTCTGTAAAAGGTCGAATTCTTGTGGTCGACATGAAATAGGTTTCTTCGGATTTTCCTGTACACTCTTATTCTACAGCTGCGATGCTTTCGGCATCTCTTGCGTTTTGAATATTTATAATACCCAATTCGGGAACAATTTTTAACTTTCTTTATTATTTTTGTTTTAACAGTGTTTAGCAATTTTATTCAATAGTTGATATTTACGAATATGTGAAAAAGTTGATACTGTCATCGTAACATATATATCTGATTTAAAATTATACAGTGTACATAAAAAGTAAAAATAATATACAAGACAAAAAAACACTATCAAGGTTCATTAAGATTTATGTGTTTACCAACTAATAAGGTAGAAAATTTTTTTGAAGGAAAAAGATAACTATTTTAAAAACCAACAACTTTTGGGAACTATATACACAATTATAAAGATAATTAAAGCCAAGAGAAAAAAATGGATATTTTTTAGATAATGCAACCTTAAGACTAAGGTTGTTGTTTTTTTTTTGTTTGTACAATATGTTTGTGTGCAACAACTCTTCTATGCATATATTGGTGTGTTGCCCAATATATTGATGAATTGCAGTCATTACAGTTTATTTTATAAATAACATTCAACTGATAAAAAATTTTGTTTAAAATCCTTTTTTGTGATATATGGTATACAGCCAGCTACAGGAACTTAGTTTCCTCGTGAAATTCAACTGATGATCTTTATTATAATTGGGTTTTAATTTTGAAAAATATTTTGACGATTTATATCCAACATCTAACAAAATCATAGTTTGCAAATATTTCTCAAGAAAATCAATTAGTACTTAGTAAGGATATATAGTTTGTTTGATTTAGCAGAATTAATTATTGTTGCTAGATCTGTTTTGGGCTTGTTTTGGATTGTTATTGGAATTGGATTGACATCTTAAATTTTTTCAGATTTTCAGAATGGTATTGCGGGCTAAATAGCTGAACTGCTCTGTCAGTAAGACTAAATACAACACTTCTTTTATGGGTTGTAGGTTTATTGCTATTAAAATTTATATATCTTTCGGACCAACAGCTGGTTCTTTGGTTTACAAAAGATGTTTGGTCCGGAAGATATCTAAATTTTAATACCAACGCACCTATAACTCAAAAAAATGAGTCTTACTGACAGAAAAATTAAGCTATCTAACCCACAATACATTTCGGAAAATCTAAAAGTTAAAGATATTTTAGAAAAGATAATTATCTACCAGAATTCTACAACCATCTAATTAAAAAAAGAAGTTGCGTTATCAGATATCTATGTAATTTCAATAGCAATCCAAAACGAACCCAAATCATACTCAGCCATAATAATAATGCCACTAAATCAAGCAAATACTTTACCATACATAAATGGATTCTCTAAACAAATGTCGAAAATGTTGGTAAAATATTATATTAATGTTGAACATAAATTGTCAAAAACATCCGCACAATATTTTTCACAAAATAAACCTATTGTTAATAAAGATTATTAGTCTGTTATTTATAAAATAAATTGTAAAGACTGCAATTCAATATATATTAGGCAAACACACCAATATCTACATAAAAGGATTTTTGCACACATATTGTACAAACCAAAAAAAGTAAACACAACTGCCTCCAAGCCTACCCTAGAAAATAGCCATTCTTTTGATTTTCAAAATTTACAGGTTTTGGAAAAAGAACAAAACTACAACAAAATTTGCATATTGAATATGATTCACATAAAAAAGATCAAAAAGCTGTCAATAATACGACTTCCATCAGAAATCTGTCCAATATGTATTATAATTTAATAAAGTGAGTTGTTTATTAAATGAGTCAGTTCAGGTATTGAAAATATGACCCTAAATCACTCGTATTTCAAAGTACCTGCTAGATGTATAAATTGTATAGTGTATGTTAAAAGAAATACTGTTATTTCATTAAAATTTCTTTGGCATTATTGAATTAGACTTTTTAATTACCTGAAAATATTAAGTCTAGATTGACATACCAACTGTTATATAACGAATTAAAAAATAGTGATCTAGATGTAAAACTAGAATCACAATTTAAAACTCAAATATAAAGCAACAATTAGTCTTTTGAAAAGTTAGCGAAGCTAAAAATGTTATCTGCAACACGTTTATACAATATACCACAGATTTATTACCTGTTCGAATTTTGACCAAAAAAAAAATATTACAAACACCAAGTAAAAACCATAAAAATGCATTTAAAGCTGCCTAAGCCAAATTCCATCGAATGCATAGCTATCAAGATGGCGAGCGAAGCTAGACAATAATAACTACTTACTTAAAAATAAAAAAAAGTAAAATACATCTTACGCCATCAGTTTTTTGAGGAATGCTGTAAAGTGCCAAAAAATGTATGATTAAAATTCAAGCTTTTATCTACTTAAAAAGTAAAAATGTTTATAAAAAATTATAAAATCTTACTACGGACTAATATCTCAGATTTTATTAAAAAAATGGGAAAATTCCCGAACACATTAATTTCTATTTTGTCTCTATCATTGCTAACTATAGAAATATTAGTATTAAGATTTTTCAAAAATAGAATATAGTGCATCATTATTTTCCAAACAAATTAATTCTACAGAAAATATCGTTAAATCTAAATGAAAATGATTACAAAATATCAAGGACTGGTAGTAGAAACCTTTATTATAAGATTTATTAAAACATCGTGAAAATATAAGTTATTTTTGTTAATTGACAAAATGACCAAATGTTAAAAAAGAAGTAAAAGGGTATGTCTTTTTAATAACCTTTATATCTAAATTTAAATCGTTGTGGTTTATCACTATTAAAAATTATTTGCATCAAAAAGATGCATTCTATTTCTTTATGTGCCTCATCCATTAAGGACATTGGCAATCCTCACGACCCATTTTACTCTCTCTGCGGCAGTTGTGAAGAGTTCTATTTGTTGTTCTCCTACTCCACTGCTCTTTTTCTTTTCACTATCCTTTGTGTCTTCTTCTGTCGGTACACTCCATTAGTGAAGGTTTACGATCACTATATCAAAATGTTCTCTATTAAGGTACGATTGCGACAACAACTGCAGACGGCAAACAGCAATTGCGGTTTTCCCGCGGCAGGCGTATTAGAAACTGATTTCTATGTATGTATGACTGCAGCTGCCGCCCGGCAGAACGTCAGTTGCTGTGTCGCCCGACGGCAGACGAAACACTTGAACAAACACAGTATGCCGTTAGTGCTGTCGTGAAGTTAGACGACCTAGAAGTATTGAAGTATTTTATGGATCTAGTGTCTAAATATCCCTCTTTATTCGACTGTAAAATTTCGAATTATAAAAATTCTCGTCTAAGAAAATGCTTGGTAGGAGATCGCCCAAAAAGTGAATAAAATCTTTTGATCAACTTTTCATAAGAATATTCTTCCAGTTTGGTTAAGTACACTAACTGTATAGGATTTTTACAATATTACCATAACAAATTATCGTCATCTTCTTCTTCTTGCAGTATTTCGCAATCCATAATTTTGATGTAATCCATGTAATCTTAACTTTATTTCGCCACGTAACTCAGGTAGGTGCTGCTGACTTTGGAATCAATATGACAGCAACTGCTGCCGACAGCAAATTGCAACTACCCTCTGCAGTTGCAGTCTTATTTAACAAACAAAGTAATACAGAAAGGAAATACCACAAGAATTTAACATAAGCAGCAATTATTTAAATGCCTACATGTAATGCCAACGGTCAATATCAAAGAAATTTCATACAATTTAAAAATAAACTATATTATTACAATCATACAGAACATAATACCATTTACCAACCATAAATTTCCATTCACGAAAGCTTCTAGTAAAGAAGAAATTTTAGACGAATTTTTAAAGATATTTGACAATAATGTTCCTCAATCATTACATTCAATGAGATAAAGGGGGAAACTATACCTTTTAATAAATTCTCATATACTCTGACAGGAAAGAAGATAAAGTGCAAGAGAGGAAAGAAGGACCAAATAACAATATGTGAACGTTTCACTAAGATTGCTGGCATAAATCTGCTTGTTGTAGACATTTTTCGATTTTTTTACTTTTTTTTGGAAAGTAGGGAGGAAGATTCTTTCCAAATTCTGATACATGGAACAGGAGAAAATGTGTTAGATGTACATTTCTAAACAAAAGTCTAGGTTTTTAAAAATTACAATGCAAATTATTTCCTATTTTATATAACTAATAAAACATGCGATATTTACAAATATTATAACATATCGTGTCTACTTTTTTGTTTAATTGTCACGATTACGAACAACCTGTAAAATGGTTTTAGTGGATTCGTGAGTATTACTATTTCATGGTTACTTTGTGTCCTAACAGACGAAGCTTCCTTAGCGGTACTACTTGGTTCGGGCGACCCTATCCTACAGAAAAATTAAATTGAGACCGTGTGGTACCACAGGTCTTCGTATAAACGTTTAATTTAAATGTGATAATAGGTTCGCTTGGCTTAAGTGGCAGCCTCATCTGTCAGGGCCTTTAGTGAGTTTGGACAAGACCGCTATGACAATTCTAAAATTATTTATTGTAAGCTTACCTTTGTTTACAATGAGTGGAAGTTAAAAACACAAAATCTGACTGAAGCAACAGAAACACTTGTAAAACAATTTGCCTATTAGTGGCTATAATACTGTTACCAGTGTCAAGAAAAATCTGAAGTATTAAAAAACCATAATATTGAGCGTTTTCAGACTACCATTGTTATACGATAATGAATCTTGTAGAAACAGAGCGAATATTAGAACCTTTCTAACCTAAAAAGAAGTCTTATAATGCATTCGAAATTTTTAATGATATAGCAAACTGTACAAATAGCAAACCAATATAAAGCTAAACCAGATATCATAATAACTCAGTAATATAATGTTTAAACAAAATATTGACTGTCGTTCAATTAGCCTAATGAGTTACATATTGAAGATATACTATATGAATATCATTCATGGGATAAGATGTAAGAAAAGCAAGACATATGATTTTTGAAATTGCCCATATGACATTAAGTTTGTATTTGGAGTTAGCTAGATACGTGAGAGATCAGTTTACATGCAATGACCAAAAATTATTTAGGAATACGAAATTCTTATCTATGGCCGTCAGACTAAAAGACAGTCACTTAAATGGGAAAATATGAAGATACATCTCGTCAGTCTTTAAGAATTTGAGTTTGTCCAGACCTGCGCATGTATGATGATGAGCAATAACTCTATAACTTAAAATCATTATAACATGCTGGAGTCAAAATTTAAACACAAAAACTCATATAAAAAGTTTTTTTCCACCATTAAAAGCTTCTATTTAACTAGACCACATGATGGGACCAAAATATGAAAATTTGGGACTCGTAATACAGGGAAAGATTCAAGGAAGATCTGTTGGCCGAAGGCAGAATTTCTGATTGAATAATCTACGTAAATGGTATTAATTGATTTGTTTAGAGCAGCAAGTTAAAAAATAAAAATAGCCATTATGATTACCAAACTCCGTAGACGACGCTCTAAGAAGAACAATTTAACTAAAAGGTCTTTATATTTGTTGCAGGTAACTTTTATTTTTATTGTTTTACCTTTTTATTTATACCGGAAAACATTAAATTTTTAAAATAGATCACAAGCAAAATTTATACTTACGTTCGTAAGGGATGAAGCCATCTTCATCTTCTTTATCCATACAATCGGCTAAAACTTCTTCTGTTTCAGCGTCTGCTAACCTCTCACCTAGAAATAAAAAAAAATTAAATCAATAAATAAAACATATTATACGCTATATCTAAAAGAGTTAAACGGACTGAAAAACGTCCATATTTGTTAGTTAAAAACGATATTTCGTCTTGGTTATCACATAATTATTTCACAGTCGCAGTCGTTAAGAGCCATTTGTAGGAACAATTCGATTCCGGTAATTTAAATAACATCTTTTATTAAGAAATATTGGATACATAGTGTTTCCATTCTCAGAGAATCAGAAAATTAGAGAAAGTAATCGTCGATAATTTCTTAACCACGAGAATTTTGGAATTGCAATACAGACAAATTATTAGAAGAATTAGGTATATAGATCTAAATGAAATTTATTACATATCATTCGATAGAATATCCAGCAAATCCAACTTTTATCAATTTTTTTCTTATTGTTTGAATAAACAACATGTCATAATACAGTTTTAAAAGAACTTGGAAAGTCTTATTTTGCTGATATTTCATGAAAGCTGAAAGCCAGAGTTTCGAAACAAGTATTGAACAATATTGAATAAAAGAACTAATGAGGTCGATTATTTTAGAATTAAAAAAAAACATGAGTTACATTACTCCTTTTGTATTTTTGGTAGATTGGTGTTGATATTCGAAGTATAATAATTGCACTTGAGAAGGTTTTGTGTCTCGTAGGCTTTACATGTTTGTCTTTACATGTTTTACATGTCTAGATTAAACTCTTAATTGCGAGTACAGTCAAATGAAAAGTTTTTAAAAGTTTATGATGGCTTCTAACCATCTGTGTATAATAGTTTGATATATTACTAAACAGCTGTATTTAACACATCGAGTAAAAAGACAAAAGAGGGAATCTAATCCTTATGAAAAGGAGACAAAAAAAGTGGCCTCTGATGGCGGACATATCCGGAAATGCGAATGCGCCAAATTTAAATTTTCAGACACTTATTAACAGTAGCTGTATAATATTTTCAGAATATGTCTTAGACGAGAAAGTTTTAATTAATTATTAACGATAATAGTCTAAAATGCGACACAATTGTTAAAAAACTTCAATATAAATAAGATTTCATGTGACATTTGGGATAAACAATAACATAACCCAACTAAATTTGATGGCAAACAAGGAGAGAGACTCTCATTCCTTGTTTAAGTGGCCTCTAAAGATCGCACTTTCTGTCTAACAATATTTTTGCCCCCACTACCTTTACATTCCCTCTTTTGTCTTTTTGCTCGATGGTTTAACAGTGACTTTTCTTTTAAAATGACTCGGTGATATTTCGTATTATATTGATAATGCGGTTTTATTTCAATATAAACTAAATAACTGAAATTTCGAAATACTAACTCGACCGAGAAATACTCGAAAGCGGCTAACTTCCATGCATGAAAGCACATGATAATGTTTATCATCAGCATTTGATAATGTTTAGCGTAACAGCCGAAAGGTGAAAAAGAAATAATTCCTTAACTTGACTTGCTCAAAATGGCCTATTATGACTTAAAATGATTTAAAATTTCTTTAATAGTGACCTAAAATTATGTAAATAATCACTTCGTGATTTAAGAGACATACTGTAGCAAGTTTTCATAAACAAAGGAGTAAGAATTATTGACAATTAAAAATTGAAAACAAAAATACCTGATTAGAAATGTACACGAATGCATAAAGAGATATTAAAATGATAGGGATCGCGGAAATAAGTAAGATATTTAAACTTAAATAAATAATCACTAGGTATACTTGAACTTACCAAGAGAAAGGAGTGTGTGGGAAAGTTCAGCAGCCATCATTTTGCCGTTTTCTTCTTTGTCGTACAATTTGAGACATTCGAGGAAATCGTCGAAGTTTCCTTGTTCTTTGTCTTTCTTTACTTGGCTGAAGATGGGAAGGAATTCATCTAATTTCAATTTCTTTTCGTCTAAAACATTTAATTTATTTATTATGGGAGACTTAGTATTCGTAGATTTTTCTTGACTAGATTTACTTACTCTTCTTCTTGGTTCCACCAACTTTTTCTATTGTGACCAAAGTTGGGTTGAGGTTGAGGGCCCTGAGCATGTCTCCCAAGTTAACAGCATCAACTGTGCCATTTCCCTCAAAGTCGTAGATGGAAAAGACAAAGTTGGCCCCTAAAAATATTTTAATTATATATTCGTTTTATAGTTTTATTATCACAGCAATGAACAGAAATTTGTTCTTAAGAAAACAATAAAATGTTGTAATGACCATTTCCGAAATAGATTTCACTATCTTTCATAGGGTATTTGAATATTAATACTATACTTGTGTTTTTTATTCAAGTGCTACTCCAAAAGAACAATATAATTAAGGGTTAAAAGTTAAGATTAAAATAAGCGAGTTATGGGACGTTAATTATATAAGTGAACAAATGGGTAATTGCAATCACGCGGGTGTCATAATAGTACACTGTTTACCGGGTAGGAAAAGCTTAACATTCCTGGACGACTGTGAAGATTGCTAAGTCGAGGCGCAAGCCGAGACTTAGCAACACAGAGTCCAGGAATGTGGCTTTTCCTACGAGGTAAACATACTATTTTTCCGCAAATCGTTTAAAATTCGACAGATATTGATTGATTTAAAAAAAAAACGCGATAATTTTATTCCCAAATAAATGGTGCTTTGAAATTCCTAATAAAATTACTTGGGTTACTATGGAAACGTATTGAGGTTGAATTGTCAAACTTGACAATTTATGTAGAACACTAACAACTGTACGGAAATATCATTTCCTTACAGTAAGGAAATGACATTTCCTTACAGTAAGGAAATGACATTTCCTTACAGTAAGGAAGTCCTGACTTTTTCTTCAAGAAATTTTGACAGGAATGTCAAAATTTCCTGGCGATTTGCGGAAAACGTAGTTCCCCACAATAGCAAGACCACTATTACAGTTAGGACAAATGGGAAAGTATTGGTAAATAATTTCCAAATGGAAAGTGAAGAAATATTTAGACCAGCGGTTAACAGGGTTCTCATAGCGATGAATATTTCAAACTTTCGATAGAAGATGGAGCTTAAAGAAGAAGAAGCCACAGTATCGCACAAATATATATGGTGGGAATATTCCTCTTTGTGTCGGTCAGATAGCTCAGCGGGCTGTGCGGCTGCCTCTCATTCGCTTCACTGTCGAATGGTTCAGTGGATGTGGGTTCGAGCCCCAGCTCGGTGTACTGAAAACAAAAAGTCTAACGCAGCAGTTTAAAATTCTAGATGAATCTGCGGCTTAGACTAGGATATGCTGGGATCTGATCGGCCTATGGTGGAGCAGTACGGCAAGAAATAAGGGCTTGCGGCTCTGTGATACTCCTCCATAGATCCCTACCAGACGGGCGTAACGCCTTAAAAAACCGGATATATATATATATATATATATATATATATATATATATATATATATATATATATATATATTAGTATAATGGTAAGGTTAATTGGGTTAGCAGCTGAATAATGAAAGCCAAAGTGTGCTCTTCTCAACGACTTCGTTATATTTCGTTAAATTTCTTTAACATCTTCAGACGAATGCTACAATATGTTACAAAATGGTGAAATTGTGTATTTTACATAAGATGTAGTGAAACACTTACTTGTGTGAGGTTGCAGGCAACAGTGGTATTTGAAAGTTCCATGTTGAAAAACTTTTTTGAAGATTTTTTTATAAAGCAAAAAAATATAAGTTGTATGTGTTATATGGTGGCTTGAAAACTCAAACAATACAAGTGCATTTTTGTTATTTTTGTCAAGTGTGATAGTACAATACAAATATTAAAAAACATTGAACATTTAAGAAACAAAACAGTTAAAACACAACTACATATCACATTGTCATTTTTTGGACCAGTCTATTCACCTATGCACAAGGAGGTGAAAATTTAGTGTGTACCTCAAGGTTAAAGTGTCTTGTCAGCTATCATATTAGTAGATGTCAGCCAGAAAACTAAAGCTGTGTTCAGTTCATGTGTAAAGTTACATTTAATTGAAAATTATGTTATGTTAATTTAAGACAATTAAATTCTGTTGTTAATAAATATATATAGAATTTATTTATTTCTTTGTGATTATTTCTTTTAAAGTTATTTTAATTGTTGTTATTACTCTTAAGAATTTTATTTCCTGGAAAAATGCAACAATTGCAATAATAATGATTAGGTTACTACTTCTATTGGATGGTCAGAAGAGTTTTAATAGACAATATTATACTACTCAGAATATTCCAGTTCGTTGACTTGATTATTTTTTGTTTCCAACTGTAGTAGAAAGGAATAAATTTCACTAAGGTGTTGTATATCTGATTTGGTGTTGATTATATTATCTGTTGTTGCTATGTGGGTCATTTCTAAAAAAAGTCTTCTCTTATAAGCTGTTTCTTTTTCGAGGATTTTGACATCTGCAAAATTCATTCTGTGGTTCTGGGTGTGAACGTGGTTGGCTAGGGTGCATCTATCTGGGTAAAGTCTACAGTCACTTTTGTGAGTGGTAACACGGTCTTTAAGACGTCTAGAGGTTTGGCCGATATACTTGCCATTGCAGTCCATACAAGGAATACTGTAAACAACATTAGATATTTGGTCATGCGGAGTACGATCTTTCATTTTTGAGAAAATAGAGTTTACTGTTAAAACTGTTTTATTGGCTATTTTGATGTTATCATATGATTTAAAGATTCTAGTTAGTTTTGGTGTTAGTTCCCGTATGTAGGGCAGCACACAATATGTTGGAAGGGTCTGACTGGCAACCGCACTATGTGAACTTGTACTTGCCATGTTAGAATGTTGGGAGGTAGTTAGATTGATAGATGTTACTGATGTAGTATTATATAAAAGTGTTTTTAAAAGAAGAGGTGGATAGGAATTATCTATAAAGAGATCATAAAGTATTTTGAGATTCTTTTGATGGAATGATATATCTGAAATTAGTAGAACCCTATTTTTCATTTGTTTTACTAAATTTAGTTTGGTGGAGTGTTTATGATAGGACATGTAGTTAATGTACCTGCCTGAACTCATTGATTTTGTGTACCAATCGACTATAATGATGTTATCATTTGAGCGGATTAACTTAGTGTCTAAGAAAGGAATAGATTGATTTTCATCTTCGACTTCCATGGTAAATTGAAATGAAAATGAAAATGAAAAATGAAAATCAATCTATTCCTTTCTTAGACACTAAGTTAATCCGCTCAAATGATAACATCATTATAGTCGATTGGTACACAAAATCAATGAGTTCAGGCAGGTACATTAACTACATGTCCTATCATAAACACTCCACCAAACTAAATTTAGTAAAACAAATGAAAAATAGGGTTCTACTAATTTCAGATATATCATTCCATCAAAAGAATCTCAAAATACTTTATGATCTCTTTATAGATAATTCCTATCCACCTCTTCTTTTAAAAACACTTTTATATAATACTACATCAGTAACATCTATCAATCTAACTACCTCCCAACATTCTAACATGGCAAGTACAAGTTCACATAGTGCGGTTGCCAGTCAGACCCTTCCAACATATTGTGTGCTGCCCTACATACGGGAACTAACACCAAAACTAACTAGAATCTTTAAATCATATGATAACATCAAAATAGCCAATAAAACAGTTTTAACAGTAAACTCTATTTTCTCAAAAATGAAAGATCGTACTCCGCATGACCAAATATCTAATGTTGTTTACAGTATTCCTTGTATGGACTGCAATGGCAAGTATATCGGCCAAACCTCTAGACGTCTTAAAGACCGTGTTACCACTCACAAAAGTGACTGTAGACTTTACCCAGATAGATGCACCCTAGCCAACCACGTTCACACCCAGAACCACAGAATGAATTTTGCAGATGTCAAAATCCTCGAAAAAGAAACAGCTTATAAGAGAAGACTTTTTTTAGAAATGACCCACATAGCAACAACAGATAATATAATCAACACCAAATCAGATATACAACACCTTAGTGAAATTTATTCCTTTCTACTACAGTTGGAAACAAAAAATAATCAAGTCAACGAACTGGAATATTCTGAGTAGTATAATATTGTCTATTAAAACTCTTCTGACCATCCAATAGAAGTAGTAACCTAATCATTATTATTGCAATTGTTGCATTTTTCCAGGAAATAAAATTCTTAAGAGTAATAACAACAATTAAAATAACTTTAAAAGAAATAATCACAAAGAAATAAATAAATTCTATATATATTTATTAACAACAGAATTTAATTGTCTTAAATTAACATAACATAATTTTCAATTAAATGTAACTTTACACATGAACTGAACACAGCTTTAGTTTTCTGGCTGACATCTACTAATATGATAGCTGACAAGACACTTTAACCTTGAGGTACACACTAAATTTTCACCTCCTTGTGCATAGGTGAATAGACTGGTCCAAAAAATGACAATGTGATATGTAGTTGTGTTTTAACTGTTTTGTTTCTTAAATGTTCAATGTTTTTTAATATTTGTATTGTACTATCACACTTGACAAAAATAACAAAAATGCACTTGTATTGTTTGAGTTTTCAAGCCACCATATAACACATACAACTTATATTTTTTTGCTTTATAAAAAAATCTTCAAAAAAGTTTTTCAACATGGAACTTTCAAATACCACTGTTGCCTGCAACCTCACACAAGTAAGTGTTTCACTACATCTTATGTAAAATACACAATTTCACCATTTTGTAACATATTGTAGCATTCGTCTGAAGATGTTAAAGAAATTTAACGAAATATAACGAAGTCGTTGAAAAGAGCACACTTTGGCTTTCATTATTCAGCTGCTAACCCAATTAACCTTACCATTATACTAATTAATAATTAGACAGCTGTGATCATTCTTCCTTTATATATATATATATATATATTATATATATATATATATATATATATATATATATATATAATATAATATAAAAGAAAATCCTTTGCTATAGTTTGTTTTTCGCATTACGTTGTCTACATATAATGAAAAGTTTGGAGGCATCTAACCTTATTTTGTAAATTGGGCTCTTAATTCCTTTTATACGATATCTTGTATAGTCTCTATATAGGAGAGGAAACGAAGCACTAAACTTACCAATTTTCCGCAGCAAGATATATGAAATAGATGTGCACGATGTGAAACTTTTGCATTCGATTCGGGAAGCTGTCAGGAAAGTTTGTGAACAAAATTGCCTTTTGTGCATAAGAAAAATGCATTTCCAAAGTGCATAGAAAATAAAAAAATTGTAACTAAGAAAATATCGACAGGAATAACTTTCACTTTGTTTGTCGGGTGTTTTCGAAGTCGCTGAATACGAATATGATAACGATGATGATCTCGTCTTCTAGAGTATGTAACTTTTAATCTAAATCAGACGACAGTTATAACCGGTAGGTTTTCAAGGACGCTGAATATAAATGTGATACCGGCGATGGTCCTACAGCTACCTGGTGCCCAGGATGGACCTCGCCTCCTGGAGTTTTATGTTATTTTTTTCGAAACTAGTGAAAAGTCATTACCTGGAGGATTTCAAGGCTGCTAAATACAACTTCTACGATGGCATTGATTCTCCAGCTACCTGGTGCTCAGGGTGAACCTCGTCTTTTAAAGTTGTATGTTAGTCTCAATCGAAATCAGTCAACAGTCATTACTCGGGAGTTTTTGAGGTCGATGTACACGAATATTATGACAGCGATGATCCTTGATCTACCTAGAGCTTACTAAGAGTCCATACCCAGTATGGATCTCATCTCCTGGAGTTTTTTTTTTATTTTTATTCAAAATCAGTCAAAAACTCGGGGGTTTTTGCGTTGCTGAACATGAATATTACGACGTTAAGAGACATGCTTATGTCTCTTAACTGCCCTGATTTCTTGTTTTCTATGACTGTTTATATATTATAAATAGACTGTAATCTATTATAAATCTTAGTCCGCAAGTTGTTAATGTATATTTATGAATATCTCCTTTTCTGATAAAACGGTTCATTTTTTAGAGATATCAATATTACTGAAAGTTACAAAATCTCTCACTATATTGACTGTTTCCATATTGAATGGGTTTATGCACCAATTCCGCCATTAAAGTAGTCGATTAATATGAGCTATACGTCATTATGTTACTTATTTATGGCAACTTATCAATCTTCGTCAAGGGATTTTATGTTTGCTTCTTGTTATAGTGTATAAACGGCTGGTATAGTTATATACCTCTTTTTATATTATTATAATGCATTTATTGATATATTTTTAATTCTTATAGCGTCTCTCCATCCTTTATTTATAAACAAAGTTGTCCCTTCTCTAGCCCTTCTTCTTTCTTTACTTCATTATATACTAAACAACCTTTGATTTGTTAGCTTTTTTTCAATTTATTATTTACAATTTATTATTAATATTACAGAATATATTTTTATTTCCTTTAATATGTTAACTACCTTCATTTCTCTGTGAACTATTTGTCTGACATTTCCACGTGCTGTTTTTATTATTGTATAAGAACAGTACTGATTGTATAAACTAAATAATTTATAACTTCTTCATAGGAAGGTTTTATTACTTTACGCAAGGTTACGCGGAAAAACTGGAATGCTGCTATATTAATAGGAAAGTAATATGATATATTGAGTTATTTATTTACATGTGAGCAAAGCTGTTTTTTTTTATAAATGATGTACTGCTTCTATTAAGATGACTTTCATATTCACTTTTTTTCAATAGCCGCCCTATATTTTGTCTGTATAACGAAAAGAGATTAATGGTAATTATCGTCACTAGTTGGCTCTACACCTCTTCGTTAGCCCTGGCCTACCTCAAAACATTATTTCATTCTTCCCTGTCGAGTGTCTGTCTTCACCATTCCGTTACTCTCTTAAATCTCCTATCTCCCATTCCCTTAAATCGTCCTGCACATCATCCAGATACCTGAGTTAAGGTCGCCCCCTTCTTCTTCTTCCTCTTCCGACCAGCATATTTAGCATGGTATTTCAGGAAAATCACTTGCAACCATCCGCATAACGTGACCCACCCATCTAAGGCGGTTTATTTTGATGGTTTTTACGATATGTGCATCACCAAAAAGTCTATAGAGTTAGATTAAGGGTAATACTGAGGTCTAAAAGTTAATTCTTATAATATACTGAGGAGGTAAAAGATTAAAATACAGATTTTAATGAGTACGTAGAATGTCCTTCGAGGACCTACTCATCGAAAGGCACATAACTTGACTAAATGTATAATAATAACAAATACGTGCAGTCGCAATAATTTAAAACAATTAAAAATACTATTAAATTTTTTAGAAAAATACCATTACATCATTGTAATAAATAATGATCAAAATCGCAAAAAGTGTAACAAAACACAATGTAATTAATATTTAACATTTTATTTTAAGGTTGATTATGGTAAAATTTATTGTGATACTAAAATATTTATAGAAAAATGCTAATTTAACTGTTTTATTGAAATTTTCAATCTGTTGTTAAACCCCAATGTCAAACTACCCATTTCAAAAATAAGTGGGTCAGTATTCCGCAAATTATGAAAACGTTTCATTAAATAAATTCATAGCGATCTAATTATAGAAGACTTTTATTCCCACTACACAAAACAAAATTAGATCTAGTCCTGGCAACTGTTGCCTTATAAGCTGTCGACTTAATTTTAGCCACAAGTATTGCGTTTCATGAAAATATTCAAACGGTCGAACGCTCAACACATACACACAAAATGAATTAGAGAATTAAAAATAACTTTTTTACTTACTTTCGACGTCTCTGGCACTTAGATCAGACTGAAAAATACAAGAAATTATTAGATGCGAAACAATTTTGATGAGTTTGACATATATATGGTGTCTTAATACGTTTTTTTTAAGAAAAAGTAATCTCCATGTATGAAAAATTTCTTTATTTATTTCATTTAACAACAATTTAATAAAAACTTTCAAACATATAATATAAAAAGCATTATCAGAGGCAGATTAATTAATATGTTCAAAAATGGCGTCAAAGCATAAATGGGCATTTTTATCATTAGACTTTTTCATTATATATCTCGTCCTTGGCAACTGAGTGTGTAGGAAATATTATGATGGGAAATATTATTAGGAAAGTCAGTAGACAAAATGGAAATTTGCAAGTATTTTCATCCTAAAAAAACAATAGATGTATTAAACAAGCATTGTATTAGAAGTCCTGGAAATCAGAAAGAGTTACAGAAATGTCACAAACTCCCCTCCTAGAGATGTCAGACCTTGTCGTGATAATGAATCTTCACACCCAGTCGTTGTCGCTAGTTCTTGCGTGACCAAATGAAAGTTAATGACAGCTCACCTCTGGGTATCAAGTGATACCAAGATTTCATTAGCTTTCTCCCGGAATACTAGGCTTTACCTGGAATGGCCATACATTCTTTCTTCTCTTGCGACAAAAATGAACCAGTAATAAACAAAAAAGCAAATCAGTTACAGAAATAATTACTGTGATAAGAAACTAATGAACAATAGCCAGAAAAAGCGCGACGAATCTCAGAAATAAGGATGTAGCGAACGAACATGTATTGCTTAGCAAGAAATGTTTAAAAGTACCTGTTAAAGCTGGTCTCTATATAACAGAGGCTAAACATTACACACTACAGCCGATCAAAAACCCACAGACATAGGTATTAGATACATAAAAGAACTTTAACGTAACATAAATTAAAATCGGAAGCGGCAATTAAGGACATAATAAATGAAATTATTATGCGAACTTTTTAAAAACTTAACTGTAACTGTTTAGCTTAGTATTATGGCTAATATAGATCACACACCTTAGGTTTCTTTAAACTTTCTAGAGCATAGAAGCAAAACTGCGAAAGGCAGACCTTAAGAGATTTCTTATCATATTAGCCATGTCATATAAAAAATTTTAGTGCAGTCGTGTGATTCGTTTATTAGTAATAGTATTAAGCTGTAGATTATAAAGTATAAATCAAATTTAATTTTTATTTTATACTGTGTTATATCTATAATTCGCACATTATTCTAACAGAACAAATCACCTGTTCTATTTTTGATATAAATTAAGATGATCGTTTTTCTCAAATGTCTGTTAAGAAATTACCATAAATTGTAAATTAGTTTCGTTATCAGTTATCAATTGAAAATACCATTTTTTGTGTTCAGCATTAAATAATGTACTTTTTTAAAAGTTTCCAAAGCATTTAGTGTCATTTATTATTCATTCGTTAAATCTATTATAGAAGCTAAAAATATCACACGTAATAGTTATGTTACAGTTTCTTATAGCTCAGGACGTACTATACTCCAAATATTAATTTTTTGTGTTTTTTCTTTCCCTCTACAGGTTAATTCCAGTTTTTGTTTAAAACTACTACTTAACTGTTTATAGCATATCCATATTTTAAATCTATTTCTTAAGCTTTTATCTACGCTACTAAATGTCACCATGCATACAGTAAAATATTCATATTCGTATTAGTACTTTCAATAATATGTAAGTTTTTAGAATTTGTTTCGATTTTTACAGTATCTGTTTAGATATTTATAGCTATCTAATATATTCTACATTTTTTCAAATTGTTTGGTAAACTATAATATAAGTATTAATTACGAAACCACATATTTGCCCTGCTCTTTCATCTGCTGCCTTATTTTATTGTCATTATCGGCATAACCTAAGAGCTTTTTATACTGAAACTTTTGTTGAATTATCATTGTATTTATATTTTGCTTAGATCTTGTATTCTTTTTGATGCTGTCACACTCATATTTCGTTCTAGGGGGAGATATTAATATGTAGAATGATTTGGCTAGATGGTTAAATAGCTCTCAGAAATAAGCTGAAACGTATACTAACGTATACGTAAACTCCAGGAAAAATAATTAAATGCTTATTGGACAATTATTATAGACTCCTGATGATGCACCGATGGTTTCATTCTCAGATGTATTGAGCAAAAACAGGTGGTTTTAATTGGTTAGGGAAGGGTATTAATTCATGTCCGGATAGCGATAGTACCTTGAGTCTTTCACAATTAGAGACACCTTCTTTGGTATTCACAAAGATTTTTACCTCAAAGAAAAAAACTTTGGGCACTTGGATGTCATCATTGGTATGACTTTTGATCGAAAGGATGCGTGTAGTTTTATTCTTCCTGTTAAACCTTAGTTTTCTTCTCAGTATATAGAGTATAAGAGAATCTATAAAATAATAATTAGATCAGTGGTTATATATGGATGTGAAACGTGGACCCTTTCAACTACTGATAAAAATCAATTGAGAATATTTAAGCGCAAAATATCGAGAAATACATTTGAACCAACCCATTGTAGAGATGGTTTGTGAAAAATAAAAATTAACTATGAGCTGGATGAATTAATGCAGAGCGCAGATATCGTTAGATTAGTACAGTCACAGAGACTAAACTGGCTTGGCCAATTAGAAAGAAAGCCAGATACTCTAGCTGTAAAAGTAATCCAGAGATGGAAACCCCAAGCAAATAGGACAAGAGGAAGTTCCCATAAAATGTGTATAGACGATGTAAAGACAAATCTTATAACCATGAAGATTAGGCAGTGGCGAAGGAAAGTATCCATTATGACAAAACGGAAGGACGTTGTTATGCAGCCCAAGACCCACAAAGCGTTGTAGTGCCATTAGTAGAAGAAGATATAGAGTATACGACTTGTCAATTTTTAATATTATATAGTTCTATTGTAATATTTTCTTATAATGCACGTCTTTTTTATTTTTTAACAATATCTTACTTTCTCTCTTGTAAGTAATTTACTATCGAATATAAATATTGAAATCGACCTATTAAAAATAAAATAGAAAATTTCCGATAGATTTGACGATAGAAATTTTCGAAAGAACAACGTGAAAATATAGTTTTAATCTATAAATATACAGATAACTTGAAACTAATTCTGTCTAAACATTAAATAAATGACGAAAATTTTGAATGAAGCTATGCAAGTATCATCCAAATATTTTTGGCAAAGCTCAAAAGATATGCTTTATGTTAAAATAATGTACGTTAAAAAGTTGTATTAATTTTCAGTACTGAAACAGTAGATCGATTTCAACTACAACCTGTGAAAATTTACTTTTTTTTTCGACATAACCATTGACGCTTGGTTTTGGTTAGACGTAATATAATGTTGGAAAAAACTTTTTGAGTTCACTATTTGAGCTGATACAGTTTACCTATATATGTATAACAGTTTTGGTAATAAATTCATTTATGAACATTTTTCAGAATAAAGCTTTAAGTTTAAGTAATGCTATTCTACTGAACGTTATAAGCAAATTTAGTAGAACTAGAAATGTAAAAAGGTTCTTAAACTGCTTTCTTGTCTGCGGCATGTCTAATTAAAATATTATGTTTACATGGGTTTAAAAAATAATTAATTGTAATTAAGATATAAAACATAATGGTGTAACCAAACGAGTTGTTGCTAGTTGTCAAAATTGACGTACTTGGCCTCGAGCTTATAGGAAACAGCATGCTTATGGTTGAAGAAATTTTTGAAGGTGGTGTCTTTACCCTACGGAAAATCGAATTCTGACTGTTTTTGCGTATTTTTTATATATTTGTGTAGTGACAACCGTAGCCCTGGTTGTGTAAAATAGACTATATGATGATGTATTGTGTGTTTCATATGTATTTTGTAGGCGATGTCTTCGCTTCCTATTTCTCCACTATTATTGATATGTTCTTGTTGTTGACTTCTTTTTTTAATATTGTCAAATAAAGCCTGCTACATTCTGTTAATGGGTTTGATACACATTTTTTCCTTAAAGAGGATGAGATCTGCATCTTTGACTTTTCTCTTTTTTATGTCTATTTTTTTCATGATTAATAATGCACCTATCCATTATACTCTGTGCTCGTTCTCCCAGGCATGCTTGCATGTCTTCTTGATGTATGTTTCATGTTCGTTTAGCTTGACACTTGTAGTCTTGAGGTTTTTCCAACGTAGAAATTGTTTCATTCACAGGGTATTATATACGACATGTAGGTTTTTGATCTTTCTTGTGTGTTGTTTGGTTTCGTTTTGGACATAGTAGATCTCAATGTGTTGGTTGTTTTAAATTTTGTTAAGATGGTGCACTTGTTTCCTATATTTTTTATTCTGAAGCTCTTTACTTATGGTATTACTGTCATCTTTGAGTCCCTTCTTGTTAGTTTTTCTGTATTGCTTGTGGTGTTTTGTTGTTTCCTTTCTTCAATCTTGAGGAGTTCCTCGTTTATAAACAATATAAACAGTATAAACGGAATTTTGAACAAATAATAATGAAATAGATTAACGTGCTACGTAGGGGTAAAGATGGGGGGAAGTGGCAATACACCACTTGATACAAGAACCTTTCTGTAAAAAACGTTTGGAAACAATATAATCTCACTCTTCGTACAAAACACCATTGGATGTCTTTGTTTTGGGTATGCCTAAACTAGTTTTTTTAATGTAATCCTCCGTGAGCAATAGACAAAAAAGAAATGCAGAGGATGTCCTACAAAGGCACAGCCTCTTCTTTCAGTTATAGTCACAATATTTTCATGTAAGAAATACTAGTAATACTACTACACAACTACTAAAAAATATTAGACATGCTGTAGTATACAGATCTTAAGGAGGTTATAAAAAAGTTTTAAAAGAACCCTTTTCTAATAAATACTATATCAATCAGAAAAAAAAAATAAGAGAAAATAAAACCATATGCATTTCTTACCTATTTTTATTTCTCCTTTGACTTAGAATTATTATATTTTAAAACTTAAACG